GCTGGTCTTCAGGTTGGACTTCCAGTCAGGTCTTCTTGACTTAGAGTCCTGCTCTAGAGAAGGGACAAACTTAACCTGCTCTAGGACAGACAAAGGGAAACTCAATTTTTTCATTAAGATCGTCACCCCCAAAGATACCGTGATGTGTTACCGTGTCCGGTGGGAAGAGTTTGTAGCCGACACGGTGGTGGAACACAAAATGTTCTGGGGGGACGCCCATTGGTATGGAGGTTGTGAGATGAGCGTCCAACACTGGCCCATTCAACTCCCAGGATCCCAAGAGCCCATGCCCTTTGTGACCAGTGATGTGTATTCCTTCAGGAACAGCTTTGGTGGCATCCTAGAAAGGTACTGGATCTCCTCCAAAGCGGCGGCTATCAAGATTAATGACTCCGTGCCCTTTCACCTTGGGTTCAATGCCACCGAAAGGTCCCTTACTTTCCAAGCCAGATACAAAGATTCTCCCTATAAGCCCCCTCTGGGACAACAACCTTTCCCAGAGCTGAGTTACCGTGTTTGTATAGGTTCCGACATCACCTCCATCCACAAATACATGGTGCGGAGATATTTCTACAAACCTTCTAAGATCCCCTTCAAAAATGCATTCAGGTATCCAATCTGGTCGACTTGGGCCTTGTATAAAAATGACATTGACCAGGACAAGCTGCTGCGCTTTGCAGAAAAGATTAAAAAATATAAGTTCAATTGCAGCCATATTGAAATAGATGATACTTATACACAAGCGTATGGGGACTTTGACTTCGACCCGGTAAAATTCCCAAATGTGACAGAAACGTTTGAGAAGCTCAAAGAAGATGGGTTTGAGATCACGCTCTGGACCCACCCTTTCATAAATTACAATTCCTCAAATTTTGGAGTGGGGATAGAGAGGCAACTTTTTATCAAAGAGCCGACAGGAAGGCTCCCAGCGATGGTTGAGTGGTGGAATGGTATTGGTGCCATATTGGATTTCACCAACCCTTCAGCTAGGGATTGGTTTCAGAGCCATCTAAGGCAACTCCGCAGTAAATATGGCATCTCATCCTTCAAATTTGATGCCGGGGAGACCAGCTATCTTCCCAAACAGTTCAGCACCTTCCGCCCATTGTCAGATCCCAATATTTGGTCTCGCCGCTACACTGAAATGGCCATCCCTTTCTATGAGCTGGCTGAAGTCCGAGTTGGCTACCAGTCTCAAAATATCTCCTGCTTCTTCCGGATCATTGACAGAGACTCAGTGTGGGGCTATGAACTTGGGCTGAAGTCCTTGATACCAACGGTTCTGACCATAAGCATGCTGGGTTACCCGTTCATCTCAGCTGACATGATTGGTGGAAACTTCTTCCCCAACAAAACCGATGGTGCTGTGGAAATTCCAGACCGGGAGCTCTATATTCGCTGGTTGGAACTGTCTGCCTTCATGCCCTCCATGCAGTTCTCCATCCCACCCTGGCTTTATGACAGGGAGGTCATCGACATTGCCCTGAAGTTCACAAGGCTCCATGAGTCTTTGGTGGCACCCCTCTTGTTGGAGTTGGCCGGGGAGATCACGGACACCGGCGACCCCATCATCCGTCCCATCTGGTGGATCTCGCCCAACGATGAGTCTACGCACAAAATCGACTCCCAGTTTCTCATTGGGGACACCTTGATGGTCGCTCCCGTCTTGGAGATGGGCAAACAAGAGCGAGACATCTATATCCCAGCCGGCAAATGGCGCAGTTACAAAGGAGAGTTGTTTGACAAGACGCCCACTCTGGTCACAGACTATCCTGTTGACTTGGACGAAGTGGCGTATTTTGTCTGGGTGTCTTAACTGGCTCCTCTGGCCCACTGCCACCAGCAGCTTTGTGAAAGTACTCCTGCCTTATCCTAAAAGCCTAAGAACAAGCAATTCTAATCCACTAACAGGATGGAAGTGGAAAGCGGGGATTTAGTACACCAGGTGTCCCCTCATTTAGATGTCTTCATCACAACTTCCATAAATCCTAGCCAACATGGCAAACGGTCAGGGATTATGGGAGCTGTGGTCCAAAACATATGGAATGCACTAGGCTGCCTCCCAACAAACCACACATTTGTGTTTTAAATCTGCTATGAAGATCTAGCTTTGTTTATAATCTAAGATGCGCCGGTAGAGGCTGAACACTGTCACATTGCACATTGACTCAAAAGAACCCACCTGGAAAACCAAGAGCCTCAGAGCTTGATGCGGACACACTTGAATGTATTTCTTCCTTGGGTTTATGTTTTGGCACTCTAGCTGTGGGCCATCTCCTTGAGTTATAGCACCTTGATAGCACTTCATGGCTGTATCCGAGGGAATGCTGGGATTTGTTGTTTGGGATGGGACCTCTTTAGAAAAGCACTAGAGGTCTCAAGCAGACAATTTCAAAGTACCTGACCAAAGTACAAATTCCAGCATTTTATGGGATGGATCCTAAAGTGGTATTGAACTAAAGTGGTATTCAGCAGGGCAATGAATCCATGCCAGTTTTGAATATGAGCCGTCCAATGTGCTAAATCTGTTTGGGTTTTAGGATTCCTTCCTTTTGATAGCTCCTTTAATAGCTGGTGTAGATTCATCGCTCCGCTGTCATAGATGCCACTGTCTATCATGTAGATCAGTGATAGCCAGTGGCTTCTATGACAGCAGAGTGTTGAATCTATACCAGCTTTTAAATCAGCTATCAAAAGGAAGGAGTCCTAAACCCAACAGGTTTAGCACCTTGGACAGTTCATATTCAAAACCTGGCATGGATTCATTGCCCTGCTGAATTGGGGAGCTTGCAGCTGCTGCTGGTGTAGATGCACTCCACAGCCTCATGCCTCAGACTGGACTATTGAGCAGCTCGCTTAGCTGGAAGGTTTGGGGTGGATCTTTCTACAAGCCGCAGGGAGTTGTTTCCCCTGCCCATTTTCTTCATTCAGCTATGAGCCAAGGGACATTTTGCAAGCGCAAGGGAGAAGAACTGCCCTTGTAGGAACTGACAGGCTTGGGTTTTTCCAAATGGGGAGGCATCCCAGGTTGTTACAGCACAAATAGCCTTAAGTTTTACAATGCAGTGAGGTTTTATTTGAAATAACTTTTTTTTCCTAAAGAGAATAATTCCAAATATATATAGAGAGATATACATATACAGAGATATATTTATAAATGTGTGTCTGTCTGTGTGTGTATGTATATATATATATATATATATATACACAGTCAACCTTCCATATTTGCAAATTTCACTTTGCGGATTTGATTATTCACAGATTTTATTAATATATTCTCTCTAGAAATCTCTAGGTCCTCCAGTGCCACTCTGCCAGAGATTGACCGTAGAATCCCACTGGAGGACTTAGGGATTCCTATAGAAAGCACTTCTCTAGGGATTGGTAGGTCCTCCATTACCATTCTGTGGTCAACGTCTGCCGCATGCTGGCCATAGAGTTGCACTGGAGAACCTAGGACTGCCTAGAGAAGTGTTTTCTATAGGAATCTCTAGGTCCTCCAGTGTGATTCTATGATCAACATCTGGAAATGATGACCACAGAGTTGCGCTGGAGGACCTGGAGCAGGGGTCCGCAAACTACGGCCCATGGGCCGAACCTGGCCTGTTGAGGCCTTTGAACCGGCCCGCAGCCGGTCCTGCCGCCGCCACCGCCACACACACGCGACGTGGGGCGCCATTTTGGAACACAAAACGGCGCCGGAGTAGTGCATATGCACACGAGAGACGGCGGGCACCATTTTGTGTTCCATAATGGCGCCCGGAATCGTGCGCATGTGTGCACGACACCGGGCGCATGTGCACGACTCCGGGTGCCATTTTGGAACACAAAATGGCGCCCAAGTAGTGTGCATGTGCGCCTCCGGCCCCCCAAAGATCTAGGGGCCAGCGAATCGCCCCCCGGATCAAAAAGTATGGGGACCCCTGACCTGGAGATTCCTTGAGAGAGCATATTAATAAAATCCGTGAATAATCAAATCTGCAAAAGAGTAATTTATTATTATTGGGGGGGGTCCCCTCCACTTTCACGGGGGTCCTGTGCCCCTTACCCCAGTGAATGTGGAGGACCCACTGTCTATATGTCTGCCTCCTTGTCTGATATTGGGGGAGGCTGGGCAAGGATCCATAAAACATGCTGCAGCCCTTTGGGTTCCTGGGCTGGGCTGGTTACTCAGCTCAGAGGGAACTGGGGGGAGATTGAATGGGGCGGGAAAGCTGTGTGTTTGCCTGTCCCCTCATTGCTAGCTACCTTCTTGGCTGGGCAGTCGGTAGATGCTCAGCCAGAAATACTTCCATGAATGGGTAGAGTTGCACAACGGAGCATGTGTTCGAAATGGGACAGGGTCAAAGCTGTTATGCCTTTCCTACTCCCTCTCCCTGATGCTCTGTCCCTTCCCGAATCCTTCTCAAAGATGCCTTTGGAAATTTGCTACGAATAGAACGGAGTTTCTGTCCTCAGCTCATTGATCCATTCTCTGCAAACAGCACCAGCTTCCTCTAAAGAGATGGGAGCGCTCATGGTGCCGAGTGCGAAAGAGGCAGCTGGTGGGGTGGGATGGGATGCAGACCCTCCAAAGATGAAATATGGCAGTTTGCTTCTGCCAGAGCCTACTGGGCAGAGCAAGAAACCTCCCTCTCCTCTCCCCAACCCCAGGAGATTGAATTCAAACTACTTTTGCACTTTGAAACTACTTTTGCACCCGTTGAGGTAAGCCAAGAACAAAAGGGGAATGTGCGAGGAGGAGAGAAAAACTGGGACATTTTAAAAGCAGCGGGGAAAAGTGGGATGGCAAAGGATTAATCAGGACTGTCCTGGCTACATCAGTTGGGATGGAGATGGGAATGAGTCAAAGCTTTGCTGTTAATTTCCTAAAAGGACATGGAATAAAAACAGGTCTTCCTGTGCTACCTGTAGGCTGTGCCAAACCAGGTAAACTTGTGGTTTCTTTTTCTTCCCCCCCCCCCCAGAAGACATATTTATATTATTGTTAATATTATTGAGCCAAGGTGGTGCAGTGGTTGGAGTGTTGGACTACGACTCTGAAGACCAGAGTTCGATTCCCTGCCCGGCCACGAAATCTATGGGGTGACCTTGGGCAAGTCACATGCTCTCAGCCTCAGGGGGAGGCAATGGCAACCCTCCTCTGAACAAATCTTGCCAGGAAAACCCCATGATAGGATTGCCTTGGGGAGCCATTGGTCAGAAACTACTTGAAGGCAGACACCAACTTATTATTATTATTATTATTATTATTATTATTATTATTATTATTATTCCTACATCTCCCCATGAATCGAGGCAGGGAACAACAACAAATCAGCAATTAACAACATCTGTTAAAACACGTTAATTAAAAGATGCAAAAGGACAGATAAGACATCCCT